TTTAACTACAAAGCCAGGGGAACAGCAATCTTAATTAGGAAGGGGGTTCCATTTGAACACTCTGAAGTGATATCAGATCCTAATGGCAGATATGTTGTTGTAGTGGGCAAGCTGTTTAACACACCACTAATACTGGCTAATATTTATGGACCTAACTGGGACAACGCACAGTTCTTTCTTAATTTTTTTTCGACTCTCCCAGGCCTTGTCTCCTATAAACTAATTCTAGGTGGAGACTTTAATTGTGTCCTTTCTCCCCAGCTGGACCGATCAAGCGTAAGGTCGAGCAACACCCTCTCGTCAGCAGCAGTGGCTATTAATTCCCTACTTCGTTCTTACGGCCTATCAGACCCTTGGCGTGCAACAAACCCATCTACGAAGCAATTTTCCTTTTTTTCCCCTGTACATCATAGTTACTCCAGGATTGATTACTTCATTGTCGATAACCAGCTACTTCCCTTAATTTCCAGCACCAAATACCACAGTATAGTATTGTCAGATCATAGCCCTGTGCAGATGGGTCTGGTTTTTCCAGGTAATGTAGCGCCCCAACGAACGTGGCGGCTAGACCCCCTATTACTTTTATGTGAACGCTTTAAAACGTTTCTCAGCAATCAGATTGACTTCTTTCTAGAAATTAATGACACCCAGGATGTGTCGAGGGGAGTCTTGTGGGAGTCTATGAAAGCCTATATTAGGGGCCAAGTTATTTCTTATGTGGCACACAGAGACAAGGAGCGCTCTAAACAACTTAAAGAACTGGCTGACAAGATTGCGGATATGGATAGGCGTTACGCTCTTTCACCTACGCCAGATCTTTTTAAGGAGAAATTACTGTTGCAAACTGAATTTGACACGCTTATGACATGGAGAGCCGAAAGAAATATTTTTAAATCCAGGCAGGTATATTATGAGCATGGAGATAAAGCGGGGAGGCTCCTTGCACTTCAGCTCAAACAGCGGTCAGCTGAGCGCGTGATTTCGGGAATTGAAATAGGTGCTGATTCGATATCTCACGACCCCCGAGTCATTAATGACCAGTTCAAATATTTTTACTCTACCCTATATCAATCAGAGGTGGGCAGTAATTCATCCGAGATCTACTCGTTTCTTGACTCGCTGGATCTTCCCAAGCTCTCTCCGGACGCTCAGTCGCCTTTGGAACAGCCGTTGTCGATTGAAGAGATAACGAACGCTATTAAATTATCTCAGACTGGAAGGTCGCCAGGTCCAGACGGTTTCCCCATGGAGTTTTACAAGGAATTCTCTTCGAAGCTCACACCTATTTTAGAATCAGTTTATGCTGAATCTTTTGCTACTGGCAATCTGCCGCAGACGCTTACCCAGGCCACGATCTCAGTCTTACTAAAGAAAGATAAAGATCCTGTACAGTGTAGCTCATACAGGCCAATAAGTCTTTTGTGCTGTGACTATAAGATTTTAACCAAAACTCTTGCACTACGGTTGGACCCTATTATTTCCACCATTATTAATGAGGACCAAACGGGCTTCATTCCCGGACGGCAGTCATTTTTTAATGTGAGACGACTGTTTAATGTGGTATTCTCCCCCATTCGACAATACAACCGGAAGTTATTCTGAGCCTTGACGCTGAAAAGGCGTTTGATAGAATCGAATGGTCCTACCTTTTCACAGTTCTGGAGAAATTCGGCATGGGACCTACTTTTTGTAGATGGATTAAAGTCCTATATTCAACGCCTATGGCTGCAGTCAGGACAAATGGTCTGATTTCGGAATATTTTTCGCTCTACAGGGGGACGAGGCAGGGCTGTTGCCTGTCACCCTTCCTGTTTGACATTGCGATCGAACCGCTGGCAATTGCTATCAGATCTGATGAGAGGATTAAAGGTATATCCAGGGGTGAGGTAACTCATAAAACTCTGCTTTATGCTGATGATCTCCTTTTGCAGATATCAGACCCAATTGGGAGTATGCCCCACCTTTTCCGCTGGCTGCGGGAGTTCAGCAACATATCGGGGTATAAGGTTAATTTATCAAAATCTTTACTGTTTCCATTGAACAATCTGGCAAAACAGACCACTTATGACGATTTGCCTTTTAAAATTGAAAATGACAAATTCACATATTTGGGACTGGAAATAGCTGGCTCGATTAAGACTATTTTCCAGTATAACTACAGGTCTATTCTGGACAGTACTAAATCTGATCTGGGTAGGTGGTCAAAACTTCCACTTTCGCTGGCAGGACGGATAAATGTGGTGAAGATGACTGTAATGCCCAGGTTTCTTTATTTATTCCAAATGATCCCCATCTTTCTCCCCAAATCCTATTTTGCCCAGCTGGATCGCTTTGTCTCTTTGTTCATATGGAACAAAAAACCTGCACGCATAAGGAGAGCAAGCCTGGAGAGAGCTAAAGCTGATGGTGGTTTGGGCTTACCTAATTTCTTATTCTATTATTGGGCTGCTAACATTGTCAAGCTGACATATTGGATAACCATGTTTGCGGATGGGGAGGGTCCAGTCTGGGCAGATATGGAACTGAGAGCTACACTCCCAATCTCTCCGATTTCGATCTTAACTGCCCCTCTCCCACTGAATGTCAAAGCATCTGGGCTGAACTCCAATTTGGTGGTTCAAAATTCAATTAAGATCTGGGGTCAATTCAGGAAACATTTTAACTTGACAAATACTTGTAGCTTTTCTCCGATAATGTTCAACCATCTTTTACACCATCTCAAATAGATCATTCATTTGCAGTCTGGCACAGAAACGGTCTGGTTTTCTTTCAGATCTCTTCACTGAGGATGGCTTTGTCTCATTTAAATATTTGTGTGAAGACCATAACTTACCAAAGTCTCACTACTTCAGATACCTTCAGGCTCGGAGTTTTGCCTCTAAATTTCTCCCAGGGTACCCGTCTCTGCCCTCTAAGGACCTACTGTATCTAGTTCTTAATGTGAGTCAGCCCACTAAAAGAGCAATATCGAAGATTTATGCATTGATTCTTGAAAGCTGCCCTCATACATGGGACAAACCTAAGGCGGCGTGGGAAGGGGAGGTTGGAGAACTCATATCAGAAGACATCTGGAAGAAAGCCATACAGCGTATACATACGTCTTCTCTCTGTATTAGACATGGCCTGATTCAATTTAAGGTCGTCCACAGGCTCCACTATTCTAATGACAGACTGTCTAAACTGTACCCTGATGTTGCACCGAATTGTCCTAGATGTGATTACTCTCCTGTTTCTTTGGGGCACATGTTTTGGTCATGTCCCTCCCTGTATGGTTTCTGGACATCAATTTTTCAATCACTGTCAGCTATATCGGGTGAAACACTGCGGCCTGACTCTTTGATAGCTATCTTCGGTGTACCTCGGGAAGAGCTGAGACTCTCTCCCCTCCACAAAAACGCAATAGCCTTTGCCTCGTTGCATGCCCGCCGTCTGATACTGCTGAGCTGGAAGGCGTCGAACCCTCCTTCCTACGTCCATTGGATTAGAGAGGTGATGTTGGGATTAGCTCTGGAAAAAATTAGGTATACCGTGCGCGGCTTGGAGAGTAAATATGACAAAACCTGGTCACGGTTCATAACTCATGTCAAGAGTTTGTCTTTTGCCTGATTTATTGTTCTTTACTTGTTGGTAATTTATGCTCTTGCTCTCTTCTCGGACTGCTGTCCATAGTCTCCTCAATGCCCGTACTTTGACTGTTGGGATTTCTTTATTCCCTTTTTCTTCTTTGTTTCTTCTCCCATGTGCCGGGGTCCGGCTGTTGGTGCTATAATGACTGTCACAGATTGGTTTGAGTGTTTCTCCCCCTTTTTTTTTTTTTTTTTTTTTTTTTTTGTGTTGTGTGTATTGTGCTTCCTGGTTGTGGGGATGCCACCTGGATGGGGGTGGGGGGTAGGGTTTGCAACTTTTGTAAGAAATTCTGGACTGTTTTGTTGGAAAACTATAAATAAAGTTGTAAAAAAAAAAAAAAAAAAAAAAGCTGAACATTACCATGACATTCATGTCTGTGATGAATGTGAATGACGACAACTGTATCAATGGTTCAGGCTGCTGTTATTATAAGGCTTTAGGAGATTTTCGTGGCCCACGTTGGGCCCTTTAGTACCAACTGAGCCTGTTTAAACACCATAGCTTGTATTGTGTCACTACCATGTCCATCCCTTCACTTTAGGACCGCAGTGTACCCATCTTCCTGAACATGAGAGCAACCACACTGAACTCAAACAGCCTCCACAGTCACCAGATTTCAATCCGATAGAACCCCACTGGGATGTGATAGAATGGGAGGTTCTCATCATGGATGTGACAAATATGCAGCAACTGTGTGACGCTATCATGCCATCATGGACCAAAATCTCTGAGGAATGTTTTCCGGAGCTTATTGAATATGTGCCACAAAGAATTTAGGCAGCTCTGATAGTAAAAGTACCAACATGGTACCAGAGCAGTGTACCTAACAAAGTGGACGTCGAATGTAAACCCGGTCCTGGCAAATATTCACTTTTGTGCAAATGACATTAATCGTCCAATAGAGCACATAGCTTCATCTTGCTCAAAGCTTAAACGTATTTTTGACACTACCTTTACACAACTGAAAAGCTTAACAAAGTTATTTATTTAAAAGCCGTGAATAATTTAGCTGTTGTTACAAATCTGGGCTACTGAGAATTCTTCCTTTTACACAACCTTAGTAATTCTCTACTTTTTTACTTCTTTATTGTTCAGCTCACAAGAAAATAAAATTAAGTAGTTTTTTTGTTTTGTTTTGTATTTTTACTAGGGACTGCCTCCTTACTTTCCTTAACGGTGGGAATTTACTGTATACAGATTCACCTTCTCAGTCTACATTCCTTAAAAACAGCTCTATTGTTCAGTACACATGGAGGTTCACGGGCATAATTTTTTTCTTGCACTTTCCGGTCAGTCCATCCTTTTAAGGCTCCAGAAAATGAAGAGCTGTTTTATTCAGTGTTATATTACATTTATATTATATTCACATAAAAGCCATTCTTTGGTTACAGCCAACTTAGTTATGTAAATGCATGAAGCAAAAACGTGTGCAGAGCAATGCCCTTTGCAAAAGTTCATGTTTAATAATACTTCCCAAGATTCACGCTGAATTAGATAAAAAGAGCTTTAATGTATGTGGCTCCTCCTTCCTGAAATCTTTCTCGACTTGATTTAACATTGCAAAACAGACATTAATGGCAACATTATTCAGTGAAGACCTGTCAGAAACTCTCGCAGACAGTCTGTGTATAATACAGTTTGTTCCCACATGACCCGTGAGCACAAAATACAATCAAAGCCATTAGCAAAAACAAAGAAAAGCAGAGACACATGACACTTTACCTCCTGCTGCGTTATTGTCTTATGCAAATGATAGAAGCTGTTGTAACTATGATATCACTTGCATGTAATGGCACGCTCCATAATTTATCCTTCTTAATGATAACCAGTTTTCTCACCCCGGGCTAAATAAATCTCTGGCTGTTGCCTTACGTTGATCAGTCCATTGCTCCTGCCTCCACATGCTTTAAAAAAATAAAAGAACTTATTGTTGCAAATTCAACTCTTGGGTCCCATGTGCTCCAGATGACACGGAGAGGCTTCTACACATGAAAAGAAGGAGAGAGTACAGAGCAGGTCACTTTATCCTAAAAGCAACGACTGACTCTTGCCATGGATTATTATACAATGTTAACTGCAAACTTTAACTTGGGAGCGGTGTGCGTGTTTATACTGCCTGCAGGAGAAAAGGAAGCAATTCCTCCCGGCTGATACATCAGATAAACTGCAGTTTTCATAGGCTGGTCATATCCGTTGTTTCATCCTCTGTGTCCCCAACCAGAGAGTAGGTTTGTGGTGTTTTGCTCCTGTGCTGCCCAGCATAACAGAAAGCAGCTTTGCCCAAAGTAATGATGTCTCTCTTATCAGCTGACATACTATACGCTCTATCCCCCGAATGCCTCCTCGGAGGTAGCACGTCTATTTCCACAGGACTGATTCCTAAAGGTAACGGTCCAGCTTTCTCATTTAGAGAGTGTCTCCGTGTTGGCAGGAAGTCTGCTTTTTGTATGGTGTGCTGAAGGCCGTGGAGCTGGCAGGGTAACAAGGAGCTGTCGCACACGCTGGGACTGGACCGACACCAGTCTGAGATGCTGTGGTCGGAGCCCGCTCGGCTGTCTGAACTGTCTCTGACCTTCTGCCCCAGGCCCTGGACTCTCGCCAAGTTCAAGAGCCTCGGTATTGTAACCATGGATGCGGACGCCGCCACTGCAGCAGCGATAGGGCGGCGCTCAGCAGACGACACTTTGCTGTCAGTTATCCCTGCTGCAGGAGGCACCACTGTAACTGAGCTGGAGAATGATGAGGAGTTGAAAAGAGCGGCAACCTTTTGGTAGTATCGTGTCCTTATGACCTTTGCTGAGCGGTACAGGTCTCCGATGAAACAGTAGCAGATCGGATTAAGGCTGGAGTTTGTCAGGCCTAGCCACTGGGCAAACGGTCTTGTCTGCAGGAGCCAAGACGATGGCCTTTGCTCGCAGTCAATCCAAAGGTCGGCCAAGTAGAGCGGCAGCCAGGACACTGCAAATAGAAGCACTAGACACACCACCATCTTGGCAATCTTCTGACGCATCTTAAGGCGTGAGGTGTGAAGAGCTTGGCTTCGGGGATCGAGATCAGCGAAAGTGGATTTCTTTCCTCCCCATAGCCGCCTGCCCGTGAGGAATCCTATGGTGAGGTTAAAGGTCACTGGCAAACAGTAGAGCATCACAAACAGCAGCACGTTGTATCTGCAGAGGAAGTGAAGTGAAGAAGTGAAAACATTAACAATGAGATGGTAATTTCAATCTTTTCTGAAACCCTAAAATACATAGCAGCAGTTTTATGTGCAGTTTATGTGGTGGAATTCTAACATTCACATTTTGTATCGCATTGGCACCCTCCAAATGGAGCTATTGAGAAAGATATATTTTTATTGCAGCAACATTTCAAAGTTATATCTATTGCAGTGCAAGTATAGATGGTAAATGGCCTGTATTTATATAGCGCTTTACTTGGTCCTAAGGACCCCAAAGCGCTTTACACTATACACAGTCATCCACCCATTCACACACTGGTGATGGCAAGCCACTGGTGTAGCCACAGCCACCCTGGGGCGCACTGACAGAGGCGAGGCTGCCGGACACTGGCGCCACCGGGCCCTCTGACCACCACCAGTAGGCAATGGGTGAAGTGTCTTGCCCAAGGACACAACGACCGAGACTGTCGGAGCCGGGGCTCGAACCGGCAACCTTCCGATTACAAGACAAACGCCCAACTCTTGAGCCACGATCACAATCCTCTGTCAGGAAAACAGAGGATTGTTCTCAAAACTGTTCAACTTATTCCTGTTTTCACAGACGTTGGACAAGGATAAATATTGCAGGATTAAAACCAGCATTATTGTCTTAGAACTGAAAAGTGTTAATGGTATTGTTAGATAATCATCACCTCTGCTAAATGGATTCACAGACAATGAATGTCGCCACAATGGCTACAAAGCTAAAATGAAAGTGGAGAGTAGGGCTGTGCGATATGACCAAAATCTCATATCCCGATATAAGAATTCTATCGTCCGATAACGATATAAATCACAAAAATGTAACATTTTCTGTAAATTCTGGCAGCTCGACTTGCATGAAGTGTTTCCAGCTGCAGGTCATGTAGCTGGAGTCGAGTGTTTTAACCGATGCATGAAACGATACATTTTTAGACATAAGTTTTCTTTGTGAGTATTTATTACACGGCGTGCTGCGGGGAAAACCCTGTTCTAACATTTGAGTCTAAGGTTTATTTTTTAGCACCTGGCGGCTTTTTTTTTAACTTCTCATCCGTAAATACTCTGCATACTCTTTCACGTGATTCAGTTTATTTTGAAAAGTCTCAACAGGATCTTGAGCTTTATTGTGAAAGGTTTATGTGGAACATAAACAAGCGGACACGCAATGGTTTTACCGTCGTTGTTGGTAACCACAACGCATAAAAACAGGCGCTTGTCCGTCCGTAGTGTGGTTATATTAAGTATAAGAGAAAGAAAGAACTTTAAGAAATTAATATAGCCACTACAGTGACCATCAAAACGATGAAAAAATATTGCTGTAAACGGTTTATTTTGACACCACGAAACAAACAATAGCGTAAAATGAAACATTAGATGTTTTTATATCGTCATCCGATATATATCGTTATATCGAACAGCCCTAGTGGAGAGTGCACACAACAGAAGTCATTTTGAGCTACTCGGCAACCTATGATTAATGGAAACAAAACAAAGAAGAAGAAGAAAAGAAGTTGGACTCTTTCGAGCATGTTGAAATTGTCAATTTGACTCTTCAGACACCTCTGCATGATAAGTGGCTCCCTGCATATAAATATAGGACTCCTGGCAAGGGATAGCAACCTTTAACAACAAGCATGGGTGTAGAAACTGTTTTGCCTCAAATTACAAATTACTCACAAAGCTAGTCTGAACAGCCAATAGGAGCCATCTGTGATGCCTCCTCCAATCTGATGAGCTCAATTAAACATTCATTCCTGGCAGCAGAGCTGGAGGGTTAAAAAACCCCACAAGCGGTGGACATCCAACAAAAGCGTAGCCCAACAGCACTCAGGGCTGAGGGTTTGTGTCAGGAACCTCAGACTGCATTTCCATTTGTGTCGTTCACGGCTGAACTGAACTTAATCTTGTAATACAAACTAGGTCATTGGACTCTGCTACGATCTGCAGGCTGATTACTTACCCCTGTTTGAGACGATGCTGAGGCCACTCCTCCTGACAGACCAAGATGGTGAAAGTCTCAAAGCTGATCTCTCGACGCCGGTTCATCACTGCGATGGGAGCGCACATCATCGAGGACACCGTCCACACCACAGCAACAGTTGCCAAGATCCGGCGGCGGGTGAACATGGTACGAGCTCGGAGCGGCGATCGAACGCTGTAGTAACGGTTGACGCTGATCACCGTCAGCGTTAACACGCTGGCCGAGACCGAGACAGCCTGCGTGAAGGGCACCGCTCGACACAAGAGGTCACCGTACACCCAGGCGGTGTAGATCTGGCTTCCCAAGGTGATGGGCATGCACACGCACACCACAGCCAGGTCGCACACCGCCAAGTTTACTAGGAGACTGCGTGTAGCACTCACGCCAGCTAGCTGCCGACTGCGCCGGCTGGTGAGGACTCGAAGGGACATCAAATTGCCAACGAATCCCAAAATGAATGACAGGCTGTACATTACAGTCAAAGCAATGGTGCTGGGCTCGTGGAGGGTCCAGAGCAGCATGCTCTCCAGGTCTGCCAAATCATTCGAGGAAAAGTTGGTGAAGGATAAATCGAAAGAGGAATATGATGTTTGCCTGATGGCTGAGGAGGAGGTGGTGGACAAGAAAGGGAAGGCGATGAGGGAGGAGTACGGAACAACAGCGGTGGGCAGCTTAGAGGGCAGAGGCTGATGAAGAGAGCCAGTCGGGGGGATGAAGGTGGCGGGCAGATTTAGAGCGCTGTGGAAGCTGTAGCTGTGGTTGAGTTTTTGCTGAGCGCTGTCGTGCTGCAACTGTGTGGTGAAGGTGGGCTCAACTGAGCTCCAGTCCGACAGCTGGTCACGGGAAGGATCCATGCTGTTTCCCAGTGGAAGCAGTAGAGAAATATGGAAATCTCTCAGCTGGATGGCTTACTGGGTGGGTTTACCTTGGTCCATGTTAAAATCCATTCTGACAGACGAAAAAGAACAAGCCAAAAACATACATTATTAAAATCCAAAAAGGAGAGAAATCCTCATCAAAAACGTCACATCAGGTTCCACAGTCTTGCCTTGAGTTCTGCAGGTCCTTCTGAAGCGCGTGGACAAAAATCTCTTTAGAGAGATGAAAACCTTGGTTTCCCATCTTATGCCACATCCTATGAATCAGCTGGAGTCATGACGCTGTTCAACACTGGTCCCAGTGCAGTTCTTATGTAACGTGTGGTACATTCGTTCCTCGAGGGAGTGGCTGTCTGAACCTGATAATCCACCACCAGACATTAACAGTCTTTTTCACCTTCAAGGAAGGGAAAACTCATACAAACCACCCCCCGTCTGCCTCACGCTCTCGTCCTCCTCGCACCTGTAGTCCGTCATAGTGATGCAGTCCCATCTGTTTAGAGAAACCGGGCAGATATCAGAGGCTGTTTTCACCTGTAGCTGTATTAACAGCTACACAGAACTGGCAACAGCAAATCACACATTCCTGGACAGAAAACCACTGACACGCATTTAATGACCTAAGTAAGTATGTCAATATTTGCTGTCATTTGTTTTTAGTTACAACAACCTCATTAAGAATAAGAAAAAATAATAATGTTAGTTTTTTACTTTCCTAAAGTGCCCCTAGACAAAAAAATCATCTAGGCTATGAACAAAGACAGAGTCCACATAACCACGTCACCTAGAAATCAAAGCAACCGCTTCTGTTAAAAGACATACAAAAACCATAAATAGTTAAAAGGTGGAAAAATGAGATAGCAGTTTGTAAAATAATGACAATATAAATACAAAGAGCTGACCCAGAGAGTTTTACTGACTGTGCATATGCGGATCATCTTGATGCTGAAAGCCTGAGGATGTTAAAGAGGCAGCCAGATACTGAAGATCTGCAACACACACACGCGCACGCAAAAAAAAAAAAAAGACAGTAGCAAAGTTGCTCCTGGATCGCTGACAACTGGTATGTGCGCTGTAAAATCCCTCTTTCAGTCCCAAAGCGACAGCGTGCTTTGTTGTTTGGAGAGCTCTTTGTGTTTCCGTCAGCTTTTCTTTAGCACTAACGAGCTCAGATGTCTGCGCTCCTGCAGGCGGGAGCACCGAGCCCATCCGCCACTGCAGGACTGAATATGTGAGAGGAAGGGATAAAGAGTCAGGGAGCCAGCAGCTGCTGCCCGACACACACACACACACACACACACATACACACGCATACACCGCCTCGTACTCAATCACACTGCATCTATGGCACTTATGAAACCCTATAATCAATCAAAAAGTGTCTCACTTCACTCCACAGGCTCCTGTGTGCTAAAGTGAGGGCATTCTGTGTTTCAGTTACAACCCATAAAATTGACATTTGCCTCTTCTCTTGACACACACAAACAGAGGTAAACTCAATTCTGTCTTCTGATTGATTACAGGAGCCAAATGGCTTAGTGACTTGTAGCTTACAGTTCTGCCATCTGGCAGCAGCTACGGATTTTGACTGAATGAGTGAAAAAGCTCAGTGTTTAGATCCTATATATATCCATAATCTGCCCAGCTATAGTAACCACGTTCCCCTGGAAACAAACGGGTTAATGATAAATGGCAGGGTCAGATTTATTGCCTGCTACAGGGATAAAATCAAATACTGGCAAAGCAGATGTTAGCCCAGTTCCCCAGCACCCGTGTTTGAGAATATACATGCAGCAGGCAGAGCTTGTAGCTATATGGATACTGAAAATTATCCTGTGTGTTGGTCACTTCTGATTCAATTAGAAGCGTATTGTATGATCAAAGAAACATCAAATGTTTTTGTTTAAGAACAGCGCCTGAAACTGAAGGAGTTCACGGTTATGTTCAATCAACATAAATGGAGTACTAACCAAAACACAGGATATAGCTACTTGTTTACGGTCTTTTCATTATTATTCCCTTATTATTACCCAGCTACCTTTCAGAGCATCACTGAAGAAACCAAAACCAATAATTATTGTACATGGAATTCATAAAAAAGAGCAACTCAAAGACACCGCTAAAAGATTAAAGGAAGATGTTCAAAACACATCAGATCTCAGTAAGTCGCCACATCGTTTGATGGAAATGAAAATGATCACCCTACAGAGGGCTGAATTCAAACCACGCTGCTGACTAGTCTATTTAATCCAAATTTCATTGCAACAACTCAAAATAGTACTCAGTAGTTTGTATGGTCCCCGCGTGGTTTTATGCATGCTTGACAACATCGGGGCGTACTCCAAATGACAAGGTGCATGGTGTCCTGGGGGATCTCCTGCCAGATGTGGGCCAGGACATCACTCCCGGAGCTCCTGGATAGTCCAAGGTACAAACAGATTGCAACAGATAGACAAGAACATAATGTCCCAGAGGTGGATTTAGGTGAGGTGAGCATGGGGGCCAGTCAATGGTATCAATTCCTTCATCCTCCAGGAACTGCCTGATAGTTTCACCAAATGAGGCTGTTGCCTAGGCCAGGGGTGGGCAATCTCAGTCCACGAGGGCCGGTGTCCCTGCAGGTTTTAGATCTCACCTTGGGTCAACACACCTGAATCACATGATTAGTTCGTTACCAGGCCTCTGGAGAACTTCAGGACATGTTGAGGAGCTAATTTAGCCATTTAAATCAGCTGTGTTGGTTCGAGGACACATCTGAAACCTGCAGGGACACCGGCCCTCATGAACTGAGATTGCCCACCCCTGGCCTAGCCTGTAGAGGTCTGTGCATCCTTCCATGGATATGCCTCCCCAGACCATCACTGACGTAGCGCTGGTCATGCTGAACTCATAAAGTCTGTTTCTTAATATTTGGTCAGAAACTGTTACACCTGCTAGAGGTCCTTTTGAAACTCTGGCTGTGCTCAAGCTGTTCCATGTGTCCAGCTGATGGGTTAAGGACCTTCTACAGCCTGTCCAGCTCTCCTAGAGTAACTGCCAACTTCCTGGAATCTCCTCCGGTAGGCGGTAGGGTGAAGTGTCTTGCCCAAGGACACAATGACCAGGACAGAGAGCCCAGGGATCGAACCGGCGACCTGCCGGTTACAAATGCACTTCCCAACCCCCCTGAGCCACGGTCGCCCACAATTTCATGCTTTTTTCAAATATAGACAGCATAAAAAACATGCTGCTGTGCCATTGCATCACCCGTTGGCTTGCACAGCAGCGATTTGTCAGACATAAGGGAGCCAATCCCAAACATATAGTGTTTTTTATTGTTTGTTTCTCTCTGAGTGGGACAATAAATTATAAACTTAATGTTGTGCTGCATTAAATAAGACTTGAAAGATACCATAAAGTCATCAGAAGAGTGCTTACTGAGGTGATAAATCACGTCAGCAGCAGGGCAACTTTCTGACTTGTCTTACTTTTCTTTTGAAACCAGAGGTTTTGCCCTCTGTTGGCCACCAAGTGCGTCTGCATTTCAGGCCCTATACCAGGGGTCAGCAACCTTTAACACCCAAAGAGCCATTTGGACCCAGTTTCCACGAAAAAGAAAACACTGGGACATCTAAAATGAAGATAACACTGTATATATTGTTTTTTCTACCTTTATGCTTTGTGTGAACAACTAAAGTGTGTTGCTCATGAAATCCATGAAGTGCTACAGAGAAAGTTACATTTTATTTATGTAATGAACACATTTTGAACTCTTAAAGAAATATAATAAAAGGAAAGACACCCAGCTGAACTAAAATGATCCATGTAGCAAAGAAAAACCGTTGAGAGCCGCCAGCCTTATATCGCCTTTGGACTTTTGGAGCCTTGACCTGACTTTTAAAAAAATCAATTGGAAAAAAGCACTATGCTGCTAAAAAAATGAAAAATAAATATTCGCAAAATTCTGCATAAATATTTATTTATTTACTTATATTTATTTTACATGGTAAATGTGTGTGGCGGGGCTTGGTCTGCAGCGCCGCTGCAGGGGAGGCGTACGCACCTGAGCTGCACCCGCAATCACGCCTCGCCGCCTTAAAGTCTGTGCTCTCTTTGCTGTTGTGTTGTCGGGCTGTGAGCTGAAAAGCTACAGCCGGCTGTATGCGCACAGCAACCGTGTGTGAAAAGTGGTCAATAAAGAGATGCCGAAAAGCGTGTTCATGGAAACATCGTCAGGTCTGCCGTGATATGTTTACAATGGGACTTCTGCTCCTGAACCTCTGCGCACAGTGAAGTCACTTTCATCTTTACGCAGGACTGTAAGCTGTCATCTGTGACGCGGGAGCCGTGTTTGTTTTTAACATAGTTCGCGATGGAGCTGCTGACATAATGTGGATCCGAAGATCCATAATTGGCCTACCTGGGGTTGAAAGTCTCGATAAATGCTGGCATTTCGGCGAGTACACCGGCTTCTGCGAGTGTGACGCTTATTTTGAGCGACGAAAAATAATAAAATATAATTTTATTTTTATATTTCAATATCACAATAATGTTTCAATTTAGAACTACAAGTTTAAAAAGAACTAATACAAAAAAAATACACGTCAGCTAAATACTTGTAATTTATTTTCCCAAACCACATAGAGCCGCAGTATAAGGACTAAAGAGCCGCACGCGGCTCCGGAGCCGCAGGTTGCCGACTCCTGCTCTATACTGTTTGCTGTGCTTACTGTCTGCAAACAGGGCCATACAGTTGCTCATCATGCAGTCCCTTTGTATACTCAGAGCATTTTATAACATGCAGACCAGTTACATGCTGGTCACAACCGCTGAAGGAAAATTATGCAAATTAATCAAATAGGACAGAATAATTGGAGAGGCTAGTGTTACTGACCCTATCGCACCTTGTCTCCGTTAACACTGATAATCACTGAACTCAGAGATCTCTGAGGTGACTGCAGCAATGCACAAGACCTGGGAAGAATAGCCTGTCCTGCTAAATAGGAGCTCGCATGAGGAATAAATGTCCATTTTTCTATCTAATTAAATTGGAATGTTATGTTAAAATGCCATGGACCTTGAGCACTTGGCTTCTTCTATTCGGTGAATTAATAATTGCCTGTCACAAAACATTTTTATCAAAGGCTGAAATTCATGCACACACTGCTGTCAGTCTCTCCACAGTGGACTAATTTATTTGGTAACAGGTCGACAGGTTGCATCTCCTGTCCATTTTTAAACATGGAGTTCATGGCTGATGGCAAAATTGCCCCTTCTCACACTTTTAATGTGGGCCAAGCAACACATTTTCTTTGGCGTGTGCGAAGAACAAAGATGATAAATTTAACTTTAAATCCAGGATGATGGCTTTTGACCTCATCTGACGCATTTACCCAGTCCACTATGAAATATCTGATTAAAAGATGAATATTAAATAAAAAGAGTATAGTTTGCATTGAAGAGAAGTCTCGATCTGTGACATTAAAAGAATTTTTCATTCATTCCGTACAATAATGCAAAGAATCCTCCACATCAAACACAGATAAAGAAGAGAAAAGAAAATCTGACTCTGAGATATTGACTGCTGGCATGAAAAGTTGGTGATGAAGTAATGAGTCTGCTCCTGATATTTATTATTTAACTCCATTTTAAAGACTAAATCATTTATGTTCCCTGCAACTCCCACACTCGGTGAGTCTAAGCTTGCAGGTCTGTGACCAAACCAGAGATTTGCTCACAGAACTTGTAAGTAAACCTCCGAAAAAGTTTTCATACATGATTCAAAAAACAAAAAGACATCACATTTATCCATAAAATCTGAAAACTACCAATCAATTTGTTTTCTTTCCTCTCAAATTTGCCCTCTGGCTGATGATTATGCTGACATTAGTATTATTAAGACCAAAAAAAGTACTGCAGTAATACAGCTAATGATGTATAGCAGGGGTTGGCAACCCTAGGCACGCGTGCCACAGTTGACACGCGAAGGGTTAACTGATGGCAGGCCATAGCTGGACTGGCCATCGGGCATACCGGGCATTTGCTCAGTGGCCCGATGATTTTTTTTATTTTTTTTTT